ACATGTAGGCACCTCAAGAAGCATATTTCTTGCCTGGCTGTAATTTAGGAATTCGTCATTTTCCAACAAACGCATACAAAAATAAAGGTAATTTACTAAAAAGTGAGGACAAATCTCGGAAAAATTATGTCATTTTAGCATTATTTGTAAACCACCGTTATGGAGTTATAAATAAACCACGTTTGAATTTTATTTCCACCAAGCCGCCCCCGCCCCCCTATCAGTACACCAGTGCCCCCCCCCCCCCCTCCGTTACACCTTGTTGGCGGGCAAAATCGCAACTGATCTCCCCTACCTTTCTGCTTTCTCTTTTTTTGTCTTTTCCTTTCTCTCCTCTTTACCTTTCCCTTCCCTTCCTTTTCTCTCTTATAGGTTGACTGGGGGGGGGGGCAAGGGCCTTTCGGCCCCATCCCGCTCCGCACGCTGATGGCGGGATTAACAGCAACTGATCTTCCCTTCTTTTCACCCTCTTCTTTTCTTCTTCCTCTTTTTTGTTCCCTTTTAGCTCTCCTCTTTCCCTTTTCCTTCCTTCTCTCTCTCTCTCTCTCTTTTCTTTTTTTTTTTGCGGGGGGGGGGGGGGAGGGGGAACAGCCTGGGAGGCAAGGCCCTTTCGGCCCCGATCTCTTCCTCCCCCGTTTCTTTTCTTCTTCCTCTTCTTTCTTTCCCTTTCTCTCCTCTTTGAAGGTTTTCGCACTTTGAAGGTTTTCGCGTCATGTAGCGTACAACGGGGTAATGCAATCCCAATATGATTTACTGTTTGAGTTCTATAATATTTGAAATAATTGATAGTGTTTATATATTAATTACGCTTAAATATATATTTACATAACTCTACGTGTTTGTTTAACGATGATTGGAAATAATAACTGATGATGGGGGGGGTGGATGGTAGTATCTTCATTTGTACATTTGTTTTTCTTCTTTATACTTCTGTTCTTTGTTTGTTTTTAATATTTGAATGTTTAAGATATGTGTAATAATAAAAATAACAATAATAATAATACTGTCTTGTTTACCCAGGGTAGCCTTATCAGTATTTATGCTGTTCTCCCTGAGGTCCCTGCAAACAAATTATATGTTGATCAGAATGTTGGTCATAAAGGTGGCCTATTTACCCCAGTTTATGGAATGATTTTGACAATGATTTATTCTTAACAGATATAGATAATAGTATACATTCTAAGATTAAAACAAAATAATAGTTTGCAAGTGTTTGTTTTACATGACTGCATGACTGCTAAAGTGTGTGCTACCATGCGTGGGAGGGGGGAGGGGCCTTGCCCCCCCCCCCCAACAAAAAAGAGAGAGATTAAGGAAAATAAGGGAAAGAGGAGAGAAAGGAAAGAAAGAAGAAAAAGAAGATAAGAAAAGAGGTAAAAGAAGGGGATCGGGGGAGGGGGGAAAGGCCTTGCCTTCCCCTCCAGCCCCCCTTCGCCCCCCCCCCCCCCAAAAAAAGAGAGGAGGAAGGGAAAGGAAAAGAGGAAAGCTATAAGGGAGAGAAAAAAAGAGGAAGAAGAAAAAGAAAAGGGTGAAAAGGAGGGGAGATCACATGCAATTAATCCAGCCAACGACGTGTTGATCGCGGGGCCAAAAGGCCTTTGCCTCCCCTCCCCCCTCAGCAAAAAAAGAGAGAGAGAGAGAGAGAGAGAGAGAGAGAAGGAAGGTAGGGGAAGGGAAAGTGGAGAGAAAGTGAAATTTAAAAAAAATGAAGAGGAAGAAGAAAAGAAAAGGGGGAAAGATATGCTTTTGCACTCCCCCCCCCCCCCCCCCCCCCCAAGCGAGACCAAGCGCCATATACGCCACTGGACACTACCGGCGTACTTCCCCAAATAAGAATAAAACGAGGTTTATTTCTTATTCGATTTCGGTGATTTACAAATGTTGTGAAATGACATAACTTTTAGTAAATTATACTTTTTTATGAGTTTGTTAGAAAATAACGAATTCCCAAAGTTACAGTCAGGCGAGAAGTATGCTTATTTAGAGGTCTACATACCAAGGCTCGCGGCACAGCGGGGCTTGGGGGCATGGGTCCCCCCACTATTTTGAAAAAGTATACTCAAGAGAAGTAGGGAGAAAGTAAGACAAATAATTTTTGACCTACCAGTGTCCCAAAATAATGAAGTCTCAAAATATGATCAACTGACCGTAATTAAATGAAATTTCGGAGGCTTCACCCTCTTGACCCCACCAAGGGCCCTAAGGCGTGCCCCTGAATGCTTATCTGACCGTTATAAAATGCCTAAAAAATCCCTGAGTTTCCGGGTATCAAAATATGCTCATCTGAACGTAATGAATGCCCCGATAGCCCCTGAGTTTCCTAGGGCTCAGCCCCTGGACCCCACGCCAATTAGTGACCTACCCGTGTCATTTATAAGGTATCAAAATATGCTCATCTGAACGTAATGAATGCCCATTGCCCCTGAGCTTCCAGGGGCTTCGCCCCTAGACTCCACACCAATTTATGTTCCGCGAGCCTTGACGTGCAGACCTCAAAATAAGCATATTTCTCGCCTGTCTTTAACTTTCGGAATTCGTCATTTTCCAACAAACTCATAAAACAGTATAAAATAATGTCATTTTACAACGTTTGTAAATCACTGAAATCGAATTAGAAATGAACCACTTAAGGGGGAGGCTGCCCCCTTCGAATTAGTACGCCAGTGGTGTCTAGTGGCGTATCTGGCGCTTGGTCTCGTTTGGGGGAGGCGAGATGAGCCTGAAATCTTTTCCCCCTTTTCTTTTCCTCTTACTCTTTATTTTCTTTCCCCTTTTCTCCTCTTTCCCATTCCCTCCCTCCCTTCTTGCTTTCTCTCTCTCTCTCTCTCTCTCTCTCTCTTGCTGAGGGGGGGGGGGGAGGGAGACAATTAGGGGCTTTCGCGGCCCCGATCCACACCTTGATGGCGGGAAAAATCGCAACTGATCTCCCCTACCTTTCTTCTTCCTCTGTTTTTGTCTTTCCCTTTCTCATCTCTTTCCCTTCCCCTTCCCTTCCTTCTCTCTTTTTAAAGTTTGCTGGGGGGGGGGGAGGCAAAGGCCTTTTACCCCCTACCCGAACCACATGTTGTTGGCTGGATTAATTGCATCTGACCCCTCCCTTTCTTTTCACTGGTTTCTTTTCTTATTTCCCTTTTTTGTTCCCTTTAACTTTCCTCTTTCCTTTTCCCTTCCTACTCTCTTTTTTTTTTGTCCCCCCCCCCCTGAGGATCAACAAATTGTTGGCGAGAAAATCGTAACTGATAATCCTCCTTCATTACTTTTGTTATTCCTTTTCCCCCCTTCCCTTTGACTCCTCTTCTCCTTTTTTTTTATATTTCCCTTTCCTTCCTTCTCTCTTTTTGGGGGGAGGAGGGAGGGGGAGGGGGGCAACAGCCTCGGAGGCAAGGCCCTCAGTCGCCCCCCCCCCCCCCGCCGATCTCTTTTCCCCCCTCTTTTCTTTCCTCTTCTTTCTTTCCTTTCTCTCCTCTTTCCCCTTCCCTTCTGTTTCTTCTCTCTCTAGCTCTCTCTCTCTTTTTGGCGGGGGAGGGGGGAGACCCCTTCGGCCCCCCCCCCAGATCCGTGCCTGGCCGTGGGTGTGTCCCCCATCCAATATGTACTGACCTGAGCAGTTTTGTAATAGCGAACAGGCCCCGTACGTACTGAGCTGAGCAGCTTTGTAACAGCGGACTTGATTGGTTGTCTTAAAATTCAATTTACGAGCGTTCTGCGCATCCGTCTGGCAAAGTAACAGGCGTGTGCTATCGCACCTTGCACGCGCCTGCTAAATAACAGGCGGTGATTGGTCAATTTAGCAGACGTGTGCCGCGTTCCATACGTCTGGGGCACGTGAATAAAGTCACCAACGGCTTTCCATATTTGACGGTTTAGGGGCGTGGCGATGCGTTCTGACACGGCGCACACGGTCGGATGTAGTATATAAAAGACAGGCGCGGCAGGAGCTTCATTCGAGTCTGAGCAACAAAACGCGACAAAATGGCTACCATACACCCTGGCCTGCCGTGAGAACCGGGGCAAACCTTGGCAAAACGTGGCAAAACGGGACAAAATGCTCAGCAACCGTGAAGCAACCGTGACAAAACGTGCACTATACGTGGCAGAACGTAACAAAACTTGAAAAGACCGTAAGATGCCGGGGAATGTGCGGGCTTCCCGTCCTACTACGGACCACCTCCAAGTTTTCTTACGGCCTATTAAGGACTGTCACGTTGTGTTACGTTCACCCCGTTTTACTACGGCCTACTAGGTTTCTCATCCGCACCGTGACTGCCGTGGCTAATTTGTTGACAGTTTAAAAATCTGGCACGGTATCCACGGCAATCACGGCCTGTCACGTTCGCCCATACGGTCCCCCGCGTTGTGTCACGTCAATCCCGTTTCATCCACGGTGGCCTGAAACGGGGTTGCCGTGGGCGCCGGGAACATAGTGCATGTAAACGTAGCATAAGGGAAATTACCTGTCTTGTCACCTTCAAAAGATCCCTCAAACTTACCTTTTCCCCCATTAATCTATGTGATCTACTTCCTGTGAGACTGTACATGTTTGTCCTCTTTTCAAATATTTATATTTGTAAGCGCAATGGTACTCATTGTTTTTAGCGCTCCTAAATTTTATTATTATTATCATTAAGATGTCCTGTAAACTTTTGAAGCTATCTCTTCGTCACATCGATTTGTAACATGTATCGTAACATTTATATAAATAAATGATGCGTTAAGAAGATTGTTAATGATTCTGTTTATTACCCACATACTTTGTCTTTTGAATTCAAGTCGCTCCTAAGATTATTTTTAAGATTTGAATGTGTTATCAAAGAAATTAATACTAATCTGGAAGAATTGGCATATATATACTTTAATTTTTAGCCTATGTTATTTTTCACTCAATCATCGAGTTATTGATGTAAATATGTATTGAAATTATGGAAATAAAAACCTCGCTTGAGGATAAGAGGACAAAAATCTCCATAGATTTGTTAGCGCTATTGTACTCATTATTTTTAGCGCTCCTAAATATATTATTATCCTTATTATTAAGATGTCCTGTAAACTGTTGAAGCTATCTCTTCGTCACATCGTGCTATTGGTCCTCACATCGATTATCTTCATAGAGATATCTTCGAAGTGGCTGCCACATCGAAACTTCAAACATGATCATCCCACTTACAAGGTAAGTCCCTAATACATTATATGACGTCGGACAATATTAATTGGAGTGAGTGTCACATCAATCCAAGAAGGTACCCCAAATATTATCTACAGTTCGTGCCATCTCAAAACTTTATTTTTTTTTTATCTAGGATTAAGTCCAACTAATATTACTTGAAATTATTGCCCACTTTACAACTTTAGCAAAGCTACTTTGAATAGGGCAAGTCTCTTGTACTCTATTTGCAGTGCTTGCTCACCACTTTAAGACTTTAAAGGGACTTGGTAACATTGTTAAGATGAGAGATAGTGGTTCTAAGGTAGTGACTTCAATGCTAGATGTACAATTAAAGATAATCTGACAATTTGAGTGAAAACGGACCATCATTAATGATACAAATTGGGAAACAAACCTTCGTGATGCACAAACGCAAATCACACGTTTCCTGAGAAAGTCTGCCACCTCTGAATACGATGAAAACAAAGAATATGATGAAACTGAAGATCCGGATGAAGATGAACTTTCTGAAGCAACACCCGAATTCCCGGAACTCTCATTTATCCATGACAAACAAACAAGTAAGAAACGGAGAAGGAAAAACACGAAAAGCCCGAGCAAATGATGATTTGGTAAAACAATCAGAATTATGTTCACCAAAAGCAGATAGTTATGAAGAAAATAAAATAAATACAATAGTAAATATATATGTGCATGAATGGTACGAATACGAGATAAATGTGTTTGTGTTATTAAGAAGATAAACTTAAATTTAACATGTCGTCAGTATTAGTAATTACCCAAAATTGTAATGGGTTACGTAACAAACTGAAAAGACAAATGTGTTTTAGATGGTTTGAAAATCAAAACGCTGAGATTGTCCTCATACAAGAAACACATTGGTCTAAAGACATAGAGCACATAATACGAAATGAATGGAAAGGTACAGTCATCTTCAATCATGGCACAAACAATGCACGAGGTGTAGCAATTTTAATAAAAAGACAAAGTGAAATTAAATACTTTTCTGAATATAACGACCAAAACGGGAGATTCCTCATCTTAGAATGTCTAATACATTCAATTAAACATAATTGTTAATATATATGCTCCTAATGTCCATAAGAAAAGAGAGATTTTCTTTAAAAGTGTTTATAATAAATTGAATAAAAAGTTCGATTTACAAGACCTACAAACACATTTGATTATAGGCGGAGATTTCAACTGTGTGCTGAATCCAAAAATAGATACCTTTAACGTTAAAAGCAAATACAAAACTCCAAGTTTTTTAAAACTAATATTAAAGAGGTTTTTGTTGATAGATATCTGGAGGAAAGTGCATTCTGATAAAAAAAAACAATATACATGGCGCAACAAGGGTCTACAGGTTGCTTCAAGAATTGATTTTGTTTTGATTAGTAAACCTTTGAAAAATTATATAATCAAAACTGATATTAGGCCAGTTGTTAATGGTGATCATAATGCAGTTACCATAACAATCAGATTTAACGACACCAAACATGGACCCGGATTTTGGAAATTTAATACTAGTTTGTTAACAAAAAGTTATTATTGTGAAGAAGTTAGAACAATTATAGAGGAGGCAGTACAAGAAAAGAATAACTCTTGCATGTCTTGGCAGTACGCATGGGAACTATGTAAAATTAGAGTCGGAGAATACTCTATCAAATATACCAAAAGTAAGAAAACAAAAGAAAGTGATTCCACGTTTTTAGAAGAGAAATTACAAAAGATCAATGAAAAAATGTGGACACTTAACGGTGAGAAAATGCAGGAAACTATTAATGAATATGAAAAGACTTCCGAAGAACTAGAACAAATATACAAACGGAAATGTAAAGGCTCAATCATCAGGTCGAGAGTCAAATGGTTTGAAGAAGGAGAGAAAAACTCTAAATATTTTATGTCATTGGAAAAAAGAAATTTTGATAAAAGTACAATTTTGCAACTACGCAACGACAAAGGCAAAATTTTTAGTGAGCAACAAAATATAAGAAAATGTGTTCATCAATACTATTCAAACTTATATCGTCAAAAAGAAAGACAACATGATTTAGAAGGATGTTTATTCGATTTACACAATCCTGAATTGACCGATGAATTGGCAGAATTATGCGAAGGCCAATTAACAGAAAAAGAATGCAAGCAAGTTATTTCTGAGTTTGCCAAAAACAAAATGCCTGGAAGTGATGGCCTGAATATTGAGTTTTATCAATTTTTTGGACAGAAGTTAAATTTTTGCTTGTAAACTCACTAAACGAAGGATTTGAAAATAATGAACTTTCTAACACGCAAAGACAAGCCATAATTAAGCTATTACACAAAAAAGGTGATCAAACTAATTTAGAAAATTTTAGACCAATCTCACTTCTTAATCATGATTACAAGATTGCGGCATCAGTCCTAGCTAAAAGACTCCAGAAGGTAATTCCCACATTAATTTCCAATGATCAAGTAGGGTACATCAAGGGTAGAAGTTTAGCTGAAAATATCAGATTAATCGAAGATATATTTTATTATGTCCAAAACCACTCAGACAAAGGACTTGCATTTTTAACAGATTTTAGAAAAGCATTTGATTGTCTTAGTTGGGATTTTCTCTTTGAATGTTTACGGACATTTGGATTTAAGAAAGGAATTTTGCAGATGGGTCAATACTCTGTACACAAATGTTAAAAGCAGTGTCAATGTAAACGGTTGGTTAACAGAACAAATTAACATAACAAGAGGCGTACGCCAAGGGTGCCCTCTCTCGGCCCTGCTTTTCATACTCGCTGTCGAGGTACTAGCTATTAAAATAAGAAACGATCTAGACATCATAGGAATTACCCTTTTTGATTCAGTCGAAATAAAGATACTGCAATTTGCAGATGACGCAACAATTTTTGTTAAAGAAACAACATCTTTAAAGAAAGCTATAAAGCAGATAAAACATTTCGGTTTATTTTCAGTTTTAGAGCTGAATAAATCAAAGAGTTCCATAGTTAACATTAATGAAGACACCATTGGTGAAAACATTTATGGCATTCCATGGACCTATTCTGATGTTAAAATATTAGGGGTTCATTTTGGGAAAAATGAACAAAACCTAATAAATCTTAATTGGAAACCCAAAATATCAAAGATTGAAAATATAATACGTCTATGGAAAGCGAGGTGCTTAACTTTTTCTGGTAAAATAACTATAATCAAATCATTTCTTGTTTCTCAAATTATATACAATGCTCAAATTATTTCCATGCCGGAAAATGTAATGAAACTCATTGACTCTTTACTGTATACTTTTTTGTGGAATGGAAAAAAACACAAAATAAAAAGAAAAGTGGTTTGTATGAGTTACGAGTATGGAGGATTAAAAATGGTTGATTTGAATGCTCTATTACAAATTTTTATATTAAAGTGGATATTGCACTACTTCTCCCACGAAAACTCAAAATGGAAAAAGATAATTGATGGTTTCTTTAAAAAAGTGGGCAACTTAAAATATGTGTTAAATAGTAAATGTACAAAAGATGATATGAAGTTTTGTTTAAAGAATATAAAAATGCCCCAATATTACAAGAATATGGTATATACTTGGTTTGACTTTAAAGAGATAGTAGAATGTAAGACGCCAATTGATTTACAATGTACTAATGTTAGAAGTGAAAACATATGGTTTAACTCAAATATAAGAGATCATAACAAAAATGTATTATTTATTAAAAAATGGTTCGATGTAGGCCTTTTGAAAATTAATGATGTCGTAAAAAACTCTAGATTTATGTCTTTGAGAGAAATTGAAGAAAGATTTGAGAAAAAACATGCTTCTTTGTTTCAAGAATATTTAATATCATAGTAAATACAATTCCCAAAGTTTGGAAACAGAATATGTTAAAACAGGTACATGTATATGATGCGACACGAGAAGAAAATGAAGGTGTCATGAAAAATGTTTTAATGAATGTTAACACTAAACGAAAGTCGAAGTTTTTTTACTCTACGTTGTCTATTCATTTAATTGTTAGACCTCCAATAGAAGAGAAATGGGAAGAAATATTAAATACTACAGAACAAATCGACTGGAAAGTCATATGGTCATTTAATTTACAAGCTATGAAAGAAAACAAAATATCGGAAGTCAATTTTAAGTTATTACACAACTTATTACCAAATAGGTATAATTTATTTAAATGGAAATTGTGTAACAATCTCTTATGTTTATATGATAATCAGTTACACGACAATCTCCATTTATTTGTAAAGTGCAAGCACACAAGATTGTTTTGGTTAAAATTTGGAGACATAATTCGAAAACTTTACAATGTTAATTTTTCTTTTGACAAGTTCGTTTTAATTGAAGGTTATAAATTGAAAAACAAAATATTTAAAAGTTTAAATTTTCTTATCATATATGCAAAATACGCAGTTTATTTAACATTTATGCAAGCAGAAAATCGCAAACTCATGTTTCATGAAGTCTCTATTCTTCGTATTTTCAAAAGACTAATCCACAATCGATTAAAGATCGAAAGGAACTGTAAAACGAAAAAGATATGCATTTTTGAAAACACTGTTATTCAAGAAAACGAAACATGTTTTATTTGAACTATGCTAAGATGCTACGATGTTATTTCAATTGATTGTGTATGATTGTTTGTTTTGTTCAAATGCATATATTTATCAATAAATTCATTTTACAAAAAAAAAAAAAAAAAAAAAAAAACTATTGGGAAAAACTTATCTGATCGATTCCTTAATTCTCCCAACTATATTATTACAATTTAATTACATTTTGGGTGAATGTAAATCGTCACAAAGCAATATGGCTCTACATTCCATTCCAGACATTTAAGTGTTGACAGATTTTTTAATAGCCTGTTTTATGTCTTTTTTTCATGGAAAAACGTTTGGGAAAATACTGTTAATCATTGTTAGAAGGTGTTGCACAGTGACGCCTTCAAAGAAAATCATAGATATGTTCGTGTTTTGAGAATTTTTTTCAGGATTTTTTGCATGTCAGAGGGTAAGTACAGAAGAAGGAATAAACTAAGTAATATTTTATACAAAAATTAAGCAATTTTTTCATCAACCTTCAACAATGTTCCCGAGTCACTTTAAAAGATAATGGAGGATATGTCCCTCGAACACTGATTAGAGGGGCTGCAACCACCAGGATTCATAAATCAAATAGGGTCAAGTCTCTCGTAGTGCTTTCGGCTCAATTGGATGGTTTGTAAGCGCTATTGTACTCATTACCCCCTGCTTCAAATACAAAAGTATAACGACATCCAATATCCTTAACATATATGAAAGGTACAATTTAAATAAACTGGAGTGGGAATAACTTATTATTAACAAAACTGACAAGGTACGTATAAAATGTTTACGAAACTTTACATTCATATGAATCGTATAGAAACATCCAATTTGAGCCCTTGTTCTGGTCATTATACCAGAATGTGTATGTGTGTTTGCCTGTAGCTTGGATTTTTACAAACATGTATCAACCACATAATGATTATTTACGTTTGGGGACCATCTGAAAGACGTGACTCGACCAGTCTCGAACCAGGGTCCATAAAGTCAGTTTGTACGCGAAGACAGAGAGTTGACCGTATCGAGGACATTACCAAGTCACATCTCTCCCGGACAATTAATTATAACGTTTTTATTTTGTCTGTAGACAATGGTGTTCATCAAGCCAAAAGAAAGATGTTTAAACTGGTCAAACGATCCGTGTTTGTCACAGAACATTAGCCAAAGCCTTACGCCGACGAGCAATGTCTTCTCAATGGCAGAGGTCATCAACGCCAAGGGATCGTACGAGGTCAACGACACTCTACAGATCCGCATCACAGCAAAGGATGTAAACAACGTCACCAAGACTTGCGGAGGTGACTACTTCCGGGTGAAACTATACACTAAAGAAACGCAGTCATCCTGGAGCATTGACGTGACAAATGACCTAGGAAATGGTACCTACATGGCTGATGTGACGTTACGATGGCCTGGGAAGGTTGAAGTGATTGTGATGTTGGTTCATCCCAGCGAGGCTTTGAGGGTTCTGCAAAGGATTCGAGACATAGAGCCCGGAAGGGCGGTTTTCAAGGGGCGCTACATGAGAACTCTTGACACAGGGGTGGACATCTTTGAAGATGAAATGTGCCTTCCAAAGGTCATCCGTAATGTAAGTTGTTCATATCTCTCTCTCTCTCTCTCTCTTTCGACATTAAAGCCTTCGTCGTGAAAAGTACAACGAAGAGAATCGAACAAAATAGTGAACACAGTTTTGACAAGGCTATAAATATAGTTCTTGAGTATTATTTTGTTTATTTTCCTCGTTGTACAGCCCTCGACGAAGGCTATAGTGCCGGAAGCTTCAATCAACAGCCGTGATTGTAGCTACATCCTATAGTCTTTTAGTCTTTCATTTATGTTCTCCCTTACGTAAAGAAGTCCCGTCAGGTTCAGCAGTAAGTTTTGACGATTACATATAAACATATATATACAGTGTGAGTCAAAGAAAAATCGCTTATTATTTTAAAAATCATCTATGAACAGAAAATGTGTATACATCTTATGAAAGAGTGTTTTATCCCAAATCATTTGGTACCATTTTTGTGTGGTATGTGTTCACGCTTGGATGAACAGGAGGCATTGTTTACGAAAGTGCAAAAATTGACTTGCGACAAAGTGATGCCTACAGCATGTATTATGTTGGGATTAGCGAAGTGAGAGAATACATTGCATATGCTTTTTGCAGTCACACGCGCGCACACATGTTCGTTGATATTTGATATACGATATTTGATATGTGTAGCATGATTAATTTTGTGAGGTATGTTATATGTATCCAGGGGCGTACGCAGGGGGGGGGGGGGGTTTGGGGTTCAACCCCCCCCCCCCCCCCTTTGGTATTTTTTTGTATGTAAACCCCCTAAAAAAAACTAAACCCCCCCCCCCCTTTGGTTTTTGTTTTGTTTTTGTTTTTTTTAATAAAAAAAATTAAAAAAATTAAAAAAATTATGCCCACGGCTAACGTAAAGTGACCTTACCCCCCCCCCCCCCCCCAACGAAAAAAAAGGTCAAATTTTCAAATTTCGAGACCAAAAAAAAAAAAACTAGATTTGTAATACTTGTTTGGAACAAGTATAGGTGGGCTGATCCAACAAAAAATTGAGACAAAATGAAGAATACATTTGAGATATCTTTTTGTCTCAGCTACAACATACTCGAAGTTCAGCGTAAATGAAGCTAAAACGACGTAGATATTGCTCGCGAAAGACGGGAATGTAGAATCAAGTTTTGAGAAAAGTCATGTCCCTTAGAGAATACACGCAAAATGTGAAAAATTGACATGCCTCCTTTCATCGCAAAAATACGCCATGATGCCTTTGTCAAAATGAAAAATCGTGGCCACTGAATTTGACGAAAATTGTCTCAGCTAGAACATATCAAAGTTTTGAAGAAGATCGATCAATTTTTACAAAGATACAATTAATTTTCCAAAAATATGCTGACGTCATAATATGCAAATTGAAATTTTGAAATCGGAGGCCATTATGATGACGTCTTGAGTTAATTGAGGGTCAAATGAGACATGAAATCATATCTCCGATTCATACTCAATCAAAATATGAAAAAAATTGGGGTCACCTTGCATCCTAAAGAGCTACAATGGATTGTTTTTGCCCATATATGCTATGTATTACAAGAGCTCGCGCGCATGGAAATTTATGTTTAAAGGTCGATCATTCCGTCATTAATAGTCATAAAGAGATAAACATGCTAATAATTTGTTTGTAAAAATATGTGGAATATTATGAAAGAAAAAAAAATGGCGATTCTATGTTGTGCAAAAGTTTTACGCGCGAAAACGCGCACGCATGCGCGTGTGCGCGATTTTTTATAAAATGCTTAAAATGGCCTAAAACGTATGCAAAATGATTTTGAGACGATTTTGAGCATTTCAAAATTTTAAGCGCGCATTGACGCGCGGACGTACGCGCACGCGCGCGTTAATTGACCTGCCATTGACCGGACGGATATTGACCTTGATCATGATAAATATTAATGAGAAATACCTTTTGGTTATGAAGATATGATCATGAGTTGATTTTCGTAAAATTTTACAAAATGGCGCCTAGATGACGTCATCAGTCAAGGTCAAGGTTGAAAAAATGTCTGTGCCTTGTAAATATGCCTATACATATGTGTGCCAAATTTCAAGACATTTGATCCAGCCATTTTCAAGTTATCTTGTCCACAAAAAAAGTGGTTAGAAATAAGAAAAATAAAGAATAATAAATAAACTAGACATATAATACTTGTTTGGAACAAGTATAGGTGGGCTGGTCAACTTAAATTTGAGACAAAACAGAGCAAAAATAAGCGAGATACTGCTTAAAAATTCTTAAAAAACAATATCATGTAGTTTCATGACGTGAACGAAATTCACCTTCTATACCGATAACGCAAATTATGAAGGCCTTTTGACATGAGGCCTTTAATCGAGATTTTCACTATGATGACGTCATTAAAATGAAAAATGGTTATTACTAAGCTTGTAGAGAATTGTCTTAGCTACAACATATCGAAATTTTGAAGAAAATTGATCAATATTTACAGAGATACAATAAATTTTCCATAAATATGCTGACGTCATAATATGCAAATTCGCATTTTGAGTTCCAAGGCCATTGTGATGATGTCACGAAACACTTAATGGCCAAATGAGACATGGAATCATATTTCCGACTCATACTCTATCTAAATATGAAACAAAATTGAGGATTCCGGTGCATTCCAAAGAGCTATAACGGATTTTGTATAGGGATGTTTTTGCCCATATATGCTATGTATTAAAAGAGCTCGCGCGCACTGACATTTATCTTGAATTTACGCTCATCTTGTTAATAATGGTCATAAAGAGATTAACATGGTATCAAATTCCTTGAAAAAATATGAGAAATATCATGAAAAAAAAAATGGCGATTTTATGTTTGTTAATGGTGTTACGCGCGAAAACGCGCGCGCATGCTCGTACGCGCGATTTTTTATAAAATGCTTAAAATGACCTGAAACGTATGCAAAATAAATTTGAGACGATTTTGAGCATTTAAAAATTTTGCGCGCGCACTGACGCGCGGACGTACGCGCATACGCGCGTTTTTTGTCCTGAAATTGACCGGACTGATATTGACCTTGATCATAATAAATATGAATGAGAAATGGATTTCAGTTATGAAGATATGACCATGAGTTGATTTTCAGAAAATTTCACAAAATGGCGTCTAGATGACGTCATCAGTCAAGGTCAAGGTTGAACAATTTTCTGTGCTTTGTTCTAATGCCTATACATATGTGTGCTAAATTTCAAGGTATTTGATTGAACCATTTTTAAGTTATCTTGCTCACAAAAAAGTGGGTCGAAATAAGAAAAACTAGATTTGTAATACTTGTTTGGTACAAGTATAGGTGGGCTGGTCCAGCTAACATTTTAGACAAAATGAAGGGCACATTTGAGATAGCTAATTGTCTCAGCTACATCATACTCGAAGTTCAGCGTAAATGAAGCTAAAATGACGTAGATGTTGCCCGCGAAAGACGGGAATGTAGAATCGAGTTTTGAGAAAAAGTCATGTCCCATAGAGAATACACGCAAAATGTAAAAAATTGACATGCCTCCTTTAATCGCAAAAATACGCCATGATACCTTTGTCAAAATGAAGAATAGTACTGACTGCATTTGTAGAAATTTGTCTCAGCTAGAACATATTAAAATTTGGAAGAAAATTGATCAATATTTACAGAGATACAATCAATTTTCCATAAATATGCTGACGTCATAATATGCAAATTGGAATTTTGAGTTCGGAGGCCATTATGATGACGTCATGAGTTAATTGAGGGTCAAATGAGACATGAAACAATATTTCCGAATCATACTCTTTTAAAATATGAAAACAAATTGGGGTCACCTTGCATCCTAAAGAGCTACAATGGATTTTGTATAGGCGTGTTTTTGCCCATATATGCTATGTATTACAAGAGCTCGCGCGCATGGAGATTTATGTTAAACGGTCGATCATTCCGTTATTAATAGTCATAAAGAGACAAACATGGTATCAATATGTTTGTAAATATATGTGGTATATTATGAAAGAAAAAAAAAGGCAATTCAATGTTGTGCAAAAGTTTTACGCGCGAAAACGCGCGCGCATGCTCGTACGCGCGATTTTTTATAAAATGCTTAGAATGGCCTAAAACGTATGCAAAATGATTTTCAGACGATTTTGAGCATTTCAAAATTTTGCGCGCGCATTGACGCGCGGACGTACGCGCACGCGCGCGTTATTTGACTTTTTAGTGACCGGACGGATATTGACCTTGATCATGATAAATATGAACGAGAAATACCTTTTGGTTATGAAGATATGATCATGAGTTGATTTTCGTAAAATTTTACAAAATGGCGCCTAGATGACGTCATCAGTGAAGGTCAATGTTGAAAACGTTATTGTGCTTTGTACATATGTCTATACATATGTGTGCCAAATTTCTAGGCATTTGATTGAGCCATTTCCAAGTTATCTTGTTCACAAAAAAGTGGTTAGAAATAAGAAAAATATATAATAAAGGCAATTCTAACGAAATTATAAGGTGGTCTGTACGTTATACAGCCCACCTGATAAAGAAATAACTAGACATATAATACTTGTTTGGAACAAGTATAGGTGGGCTGGTCAAACTGAACTTTGAGACAAAATAGAGCAAAAATAAGCGAGATACTGCTAAAAAAAACAATGTCATGTAGATTAAAGATGTGAACGAAATTCACCTTCAATATGCATAACACGCTACTTACGAAATTTCTGATATGTGCCCTTTAATCGTAATTTTCACTATGATGACGTCATCGAAATGAAAAAAAAGCTTATAGAGAATTGTCTAAGCTACATCATATCGAGATTTGGAAGAAAATTGATAAATTTTACATAACTATGCTGACGTCATAATATGCAAATTCCTATTTTTAGTTTGAAGGCCATTATGATGATATCAAAATATTTTTAATAGCCAAATGAGACATTAAATCATATTTCCGACTCATTCTCTATCAAAATATGAAACAAAATTGAGGGTCTCCGTGCATTCCAAAGAGCTATAATGGATTTTGTATAGGCCTGTTTTTGCCCATATATGCTATGTATTAAAAGAGCTCGCGCGCACTGACATTTCTCTTGAATGGACGCTCATCTTGTTATTAATGGTCATAAAGAGATAAACATGGAATCAAATTGTTTGAGAAAATATGAGAAATATCATGAAAGAAAAAAAATGGCGATTCTATGTTGTGTAATGGTGTTACGCGCGAAAACGCGCGCGCATCCGCGTGTGCGCGATTTTTTATAAAATGCTTAAAATGGCCAAAAACGTGTGCAAAAAATTTTTTAGTCGATTTTGAGCATTTAAAAAATTTGCGCGCGCATTGACGCGCGGACGTACGCGCATGCGCGCGTTTTTTGACATGAAATTGACTGGACTGATATTGACCTTGATCACGAAAAATATAAATGAGAAATAACCTTTGGTTATGAAGATATGATCATAAGTTAATTTTCACAAAATGGCGCCTAGATGACGTCATCAGTCAAGGTCAAGGTTAACAAATTCGCTGTGTTTTGTTCATATGCCTATACATATGTGTGCCAAATTTTAAGATATTTGATTGAGCCATTTTCAAATTATCTTGTCCACAAAAAAGTGGGTCGAAATAAGAAAAATAAATAATAAACTAGACTTTAATTCGTCACTTAGACGAATTAGGTGATACGTATGATAATGGTTTACATAACGAATAATGCATTACACGATATATTATTTTGCTTCTCCCATTCATATGCTTCTCCCATTATGATCTATTCATATGTCAAGATTAAATTGTGTCTCCTTGATCATCATGGATCTAGGGAAGATAGATTGAAACAATATATGACCTTTGACCCTGTGCAGTAACCAGTTACACATTTGACTCTAATTTACATCATGAAGAACACCTTTTGACGATTTTATCTTATTCAAAGAAATGAAAATGTAATTGATAAATGATTAGCATCATTATGATAATGATGATCGTGATGATCATGATCATGATCATGGGCGCGATCATGACATCTTATTGAAAAAATGAGGGTTGATTTAGATAGCATATAATCTCAGCTACAACATACTCAAAAATCAACAAAATCCAAGCCGAAATAACGGCGATATTGCTCGCAAAGACAGGAATGTAGACTCCAGATTTGAGAAAAAGTCATTTCCCATAGGGATTACACGCAAAAAGTAATGGATTAAGTGAAAATAGGGTAATAATAAAGTAAAAAGGGTTATTTATGACATTATTTGCGAATCTACGTGTTTAAATAATCAAAGGAGATGGTACAGTGAAGGTCAAAAGGAAAAAAAAGTGAAGAAAAAAAGTGTTGGAGACACCCGGACTCGAACCAGGGATCTCGAGGTTGGAAGTCAAGTGCGTTACCGATATACCAAAACATCTCCCATAGCGATTACACGTAAACAGGAAATGGAATTCAGAAATCCTACTTTGCAAGTGAAATATGAGCATGATCCCGGCATCTAATCGAAAAATAAAGGGCACACTTGTGATAGCTCATTGTCTCAGCTACAACATATCCGAAGCTCAGCGAAAACGAAGCTAAAACAACGGAGATTTTGCTCGCGAAAGACAGGAGTGTAGAATCCAGTTTTGAGAAAAAGTCATGTCCCATAGAGAATACACGCAAAATGTGAAAATTGACATGCCTCCTTTAATCACAAAAATACACCATGATACTTTTGTCAAAAATAAAAATTGTGATCATTACATTTGTAGAAAATTGTCTCAGCTAGAACATATCAAAATTAAAAAGAAAATTGATCCATATTTACAGAGATACAATCAATTTTCCAAAAATATGCTGACGTCATAATATGCAAATTAAAATTTTGAGTTTGGAGGCCATTATGATGACGTCATGAGTTAATTGAGGATCAAATGAGACATGAAATCATATCTCCGACTCATAATCTATCCAAATATGACAAAATATTAGGAGCTTCTATCTATTCTAAAGAGTTACAATGAATTTTATATAGGCATGTTTTTGCCCATGTATTGTGGATAAAGATAACGCAAATCCGCGCGTGCTGTCAACTTTGACGGACGCTCATTGCGTTAATAAAAGGTGAACAAATTATCAAAATGCTTGGAAAAATGTACCGAATATGATGACAGAAAAAAATCGGCGATTCTATGTTGCAAAATGCCAGTACGCGCGAAAACGCGCGCGCATGCGCGTGTGCGTAATTTTTTTATCAAATGCTCCATATGGCCTGAAACGTATGCAAAAAAAATTTGGGATGATTTAGAGCATTTTTAATTTTTGCGCGCGCGTAAACGCGCGGACGAGCGCGCACGCGCGCATTTACGCACGTTTATTGACCTCAACTTGACCGGACGGATATTGATCTTAATCATGATAAATATGAATGAAAAATTATTATTCGTTATAAAGATATGATCATTAGTTGATTTTCACAAAATGGCGCCTGGATGACGTCACGATGACTTTGAGTCTTTGAAAAGTCACGCAGTTCTAAGTTAGACTAAGATCTATCATCATTGAAAGATTCATAACAATGGCTTCGTTCAGTCTTGAGATATCCTGCGAACAAATTCGAGGAAGAATAATAATAAATAAATAAATAAATAATAATAAAAATCTTGACGAAATCAAAAGGTGATACGTCTACGTACGTATCACCTAATAAATAATAATAAAGGCAATTTTAACAAAATTATAAGGTGGTCTGTATTAGATACAGCCCACCTAATAATAAAGGCAATTTTAACAACATTATAAGGTGGTCTGTATTAGATACAGCCCACCTGATAATAATAAAGGCAATTTTAACAAAATTATAAGGTTGTCTGTATTAGATACAGCCCACCTAATAAATAATAAATAATAAATAAAGGCGATTTTAACAAAAAAATAAGGTGGTCTGTATTAGATACAGCCCACCTGATAAATAAAGGCAATTCTAACGAAATTATAAGGTGGTCTGTACGTTATACAGCCCACCTGATAAATAAATAAATAAATAAAGGCAATTCTAACGAAATTATAAGGTGGTCTGTACGTTATACAGCCCACCTGAAAAGTCTCCGCTTATGGCTTTACTTTTCTGAAGAAATATAAATAGATGAAAGCCCTATATAGAGCAATATTAATCTTGCAAAAGTCTGATTTAGTATAGGATTTTCCGCGAGTTGGTCATCCAAATTAATTTGTCTTGGAATATAAACCCAAGATATATCTGACAGCACTAAAACCGTCGAATTTGAATGCAAGACAAATAATTTAAATGACAAACTCGTGAATTTGGCTGGAAAATCCTATAAATGGAATAACAGAAAAGACCCTAATGGCAAATCATGCATTAAGTTGCATTTTTTAAAACTGTAAACGTGTGTTGCATTTCTTCTCCCTAAAATTCCTAACTTAAATAAACATAATTCGAATACGAATGACAGGTGTTAATTTGAATGATAAAAATGACGCCTAGACAAGTGACGATTAATTGGAATGCTAGTTGAGCAGTTTCTAAATTGAATGACAGATTTATGAAACCCTTCGACCAAAATCCTAAATTAAATACCAAAACGGGAAAATTGAATGATAATTGGCATGGCAAAGCCGATCTGCGCTAACTTTAAATGCAAAGTAAATTAATTCAAATGACAAACTCGCGAATTTCTCCGGGAAATCCTATATTTATTGTATGCATATCAAATTGCCTTATTGTTCGTATATAATTATATCAATTGTATGTGTAGCAATTGTATGTAAGTGTACGGTATATGTGTATTAATTGTGTGTGTGTGTGTGTGTGTGTGTGTGTGTGTGTGTGTGTGTGTGTGCTCGTGAGAGTGCGTGTGCATGTTTGCGTATTAAATATATACGTATCAATAATTATTTCGTTTTCCTTGATGCTGACAGCATTCTCTGTGTAACTTCACGGATGAAAGATCAGGCTATCCATGGTTCTGTATAGCGCCCTCTAATACAAATTTATCGTGTGATAACTGGAAGCTGTACATGTCAGATCGGACATTAATCAAAAAGTATACGATGGGGGCCGTCAGCAAGGAAGAAAAAACAATATTCGAGATGTAAGTTATGCTTTCCTTAATAGTAATCCTATTCGCAAACATACTGAGAAGGTTTGAGCCTAATACCAATAATGAACGATTGATTGTCGGCTAGCATGACATATTAATGACAAAAGAATTTAGACAGCGGAAGTCGCATCTGATTTTTCATCGAGCTTCTTTCACCATCACGACATTCATTTTCTTTCAATTTAAATCAATTCAATTCAATTCTTATTTCATTCATTTAAATAACCCATTTTATACAACACCTACGTGGATCCTTGTCATTTGATTGGAGGATTGCTGGTCACATGATATTCAATAGATATTATATTGCACGGTCGTGCATTTTTGGTTATATGCTGACTGCGTACCTCTCTGCCGTGCGCGCGCGTATCCCTAGCACTGCGTGTGTCTGACGCGAAGGCAATCTGAATGTAATCGAGAAGGCTTGACTCCAACTTTAATTTATCTTTAATATAAGGAGTAATTTGTTGATTAACGTTCTATTAGAACTTCTTCGATGTTGTATAAAACAAATAATGAATGTTTTGCATTCGTTCAATGGTGCGAATATTTTCATTCGTTGAAAGATTAACGTTAATTCTATTCAACTCGGGTGACGCCTCGTTGAATAGAATGTTAATCTTTCAACTCATGAAAATATTCGCACTATTGAACTTCTAACCATTCATTATTTGTATATTATACATACAACAATCAGGTATATTACACAAAATACACATTAAAACATATTGGACAAGGACATAACAATAAACTGGATAGGCTGCAACCTGAAAGATACATGATACTTTAAGGTAATACAAAGTTTTGGTATGGGGTCATGAATTCGGTTCAAATGAACATATTGGAAGCATATGCGATCCTTCAATATACAGAGATCGTTGTCGCTATTGAAATCGAGTCTGAAGTTATGAACTTGTAAATAATAAACTCTTTATGTTGTATAGCTCCCTCTCAAGGTCAAGATATTAATTAAGCTATAAAACAATGTTTCTTGACTAAAATCGACCGATTAGCTTTTCTCGTTTGAAAGTTATATATCCCAACTACAAATTCTGAGATTTTCATGGTCGCAGCTACCAGTGTACGGCCGTAGACGCTATTTGAAATATATCAACATTCACCGGAAGCACCGGTAAATTTGTATGGCGGTGTGACCAAAGTTCGCGCGTGACCAAAGTTCGCTTTCTCAAAAAATCGGTAAGATTTCGAAAATCTGATATCACCAATGAAAAGAAGGTCATAAAATTACCCAGAAACGAAATTTTCTTTAGAATTGGGTGCGAAATTGTGAAAATATTGACAAAAGATCGGCAAATTTTGCAGTTATTTGCGTCCGTTCCGAAAAATTATCAACTTACCGATAAGGGTCTGGAAATCTTCATTTTGAGATCAGAAATCCTCAAAATTGTAAGTAAAGAGTGGTACTAACTAATTGTACGATATCTTGCCTTGCAAATTATGATATTACCTTATTTTTGATGAATAGCATTTTTTGATAAATCAACTGTAAACCACCGTGCGTGAAGTTAGGTCTCATTGTTTTTATGACTTTTTTTAGATGCAGCGCGCACGAACGATCGGACATCGAATTTTTAGATCGCGATATCTCCGAAATCATTCGACGGTAAATTTTTCTAGTTGAACCAATCTGTGGTAAAAAACTTTGCCGTCCATTTGGTAATAATTGAAATAAATAAAGTTGTGTAGAATGTGAGAAATCATAGATCGAATATCACATTTTGTAATATGTTCTGAAATGTCCGCGAACTTTGGTCACCCCTTCTTTCTCGAAAGCAAAAGTGTTTTAGGGGCTAATTTTTCTAGTTCTTATATTACATCCGCAGTTGCATCCAAATACATAAAAATTGTAAAAATCACTATCCAACCAAATTTCAAAAATTCCCAAAACTTTATATTACCTTTAAGGTTGACCCATTTTTGATTAAAAAAATTATGACAATTGCAAGCCGTACTAGCAGCGATGTAGCTACAGGGTGGGGGGGGGGGGGGGTATCAGACAATGGCCCCTAATAATTAGTCCGGGCAACTATCCCTGGACAACTACCTCTTATGACCAATTGTATTGAATTCATAAGTCCCTTACATGGAAGGGGAACCCCAAACAATTCACTTCCCCCATCCGCTGTCTCCGCTACCACGTGAAGACATCGTCTCCGGCGATCACCTCCTAGTTATAATTGTCCGGGGGTAATTTTCCTTCGAGTAATTGTCCTGGGGTAATTGTATTTCAGGTCATTGCCAGGGGTAGGGGCGTAGCTCTGCATTTATTGTCCGAGGTAGCTACACGGGGAAAGTTTACAGGGGGTAATATTGTCCGAATCTTTCTGGTAAAAGGGGAACGGAGAAAATCTTGTTTTTATTTATTTTACGCTGTTTCAAGATGGGCTCTAGCCCTTGGAACGATACGAAACTTATTGTAAATAAGATGACTTGGTCATGACAAGGTGATTTTGTGATGTTTTATTTTCAATAAACACAAGATACATATTCTTCAACAAATTTTTTTTTCATATTTTTTTCCCTCCACAGGGATTTTATTGATTTTCATTTGCAACAAATAAACAAACATATATTCAAGGTAATTCATATTTATAACATGAATAAAATGTCGAACTGTGGAGTTAACAGAAGAGAAACATATTTTCAATAATGGACTTCTGATATTCATGAACAACAAAAATGGAAGAAACAATATAAAAAAGACATATTATCCTTTGGTTATTGGGCTATATACAACTACTTTGTTGTGACCACTGCTAATGATTTTTTTTTCTTCAAATAAACAGAATAGAAACAAAAAAATCAGAAGAAAGGATAAAAAATTATAGAAACAAATTCCTAAATTGAAACCATTTTGGGGGGAACTTATTATTTCTACAGTTCGAATCTGCAATGATCTTTTCTTTTTTGAAATAATTTATAAGTCGGGCAATCTTTTCTTTATTTAGCACGTATACACCATCTGTCGCACCACAATGAGTATACAATTCAAGGCATAATTATTTGAACCTCTTAAACCAAATAATATATCTTGTATTGATATTATTCTATATCTGGTTCCAGTACAGATATGTTTTACATGCGTACAATCACATAGCAGATGTATAACTATATTGGGCTATTGCATATTTTAATGTAATCATTATTCCATAAGGGTTGGCAGGATATGTTATCACAATGCTTGGACAAGAGTGTAAAGCCATGAACATTTCTTGAACATATGGCTATCACAATCATAACAAAATATAAGTTTTTCTTTTAATTACAGACATAAGTTGCCTATCAATCACCATCCTCCTCCCCTCAACGTAGTTGGGGACTCAAAAAGTGAGTATAATAATCATAAATTTTGCAATGAAAAAGGTTCCTGCATTAAAAACCTATAGGAAAAAGTGTAGTAAAAACAAGTTAGTAGTAATTATAATGGCCTTTAAAAAACAAAAAAGGGAATGAATATTGGAATGCCATGGTTAAAGTGACACGGTAACATTGTTGAAGGTTGATGAAAAAATTGCTTAATTTTGTATAAAATGTTACTTACTATATTCCTTCTTCTGTACTAACCCTCTGACATACAAACATTTCCGAAAAAAAATCAAACAATAAAGATATCTATGGTTTTTTTTCGAAGGCGTCAATGTATGACACCCTTTAACAGTGATTAACAGTTAATTCTCCCAACCATTTTTGAATTTTGCCAACCGTTTTTCAAAAAAAAGACATAAAACAGGCTATAAAAAATCTGTCAACAATTAAATGTCTGGAATGGTATTTAGAGCCAATTTTTTATTCTGTGAAGATTTACATTCACCTAAAATGTAATTAAATTTTAATAATATAGTTGGGAGAATTAAGGAACCAATCAGATCAGTTTTTCCCAATTTGTACAATGAATAATGGTCAGTTTTCACTCAAATTTTCAGATTATTGTTAATTGTACATCTAGCATTGTAGTCACTACCTTAGCCCCACTATCTCTCATCTGAACAATGTTACCAAGTCCCTTTAAGCTTTAGTTAATTAGTTTTGGGATTTGAGGAGGGCTTGAAAAAGGGTCGAGGGTAATGAAGTTTCTTAAAAGGGATATTATCACATTATATACGTGTTTACTGTAGTACTAGAGGTGTCATTCATAAGGCAACAAAAAAAACATGTTTAGCCTCCTTTTTTTGTTTTAAATATAGGGAGGAGGCCCTTTTTTCTTCTTTTTCTTCTTCAAAATGGCCGCTTAAAATGGTTCATTTTCACTGACAGTTGGGCTATTTCCAAGACGGCTGCCAACATTTTTTTTTAAAATCAGAAATAGATCTATTTTAGCAGTGTTTTTCATGTTTTTTTCTTTAAAAAATCAACAAAAATCAACAATAAAAGGAAAAAAGGAAAAAAAAATAGGAGGCAGCCCCAAAAAGGAAGCGGGCGGGGACGCTAAACATGTATATTTGCTTTTAGTAGCCTAATTTCACAAGTTCATAATCCCTTGTAAATTTTCTTACTTCCAAAAACTCTACAGGCTGGAAGAAGAGCATGTACGCTTATCAAGATTATCTACCTTCCTGCAGACCAGGACAACACTTACACAACCCTTCTCCTTCGGGCTTCTATAGCAAGAACATCTGGTTTTCAGATCAATGCAAACTCCGTCGATTTACTAAGCCAGATGTCTTACAGTGCCTGCAAAACAGAGCAGTCCATATTTTCGGAGACTCGACTTCTAGACAGTTCTACTTTGAGTTTGCCAATAATTACAAACCTGAGATAGTGGGGAAGAAACCAATAGATGATTGTGAAAAAAGAAGGGGCCCATTACGCGCTAAGAGCAGCGATAAGTTGAACATCTCTATACATTTTAAATTTCAAGGTTTTCCTGCTCGTCCATCGGTACTTATTCGCAAGGATAATGTGCATTACATTATCAATGAATTAGACGATCTGAAGGTAGACTCTAGATCAGTAATCTTAATTTGCGTTGGAACACACTACACGACATACCCATTAGAGATGTACGAAGAGAGAATGAGAGATATTATAGCGGCTGTTCAGAGATTACACAAGAGAAGTCCTCAAACACTGGTAGTCTTTAAGAGCGCAAACACCCGAGAACATGGAACGCTCATTCATCAATTAGAGAACAGCGAGTGGTATATTTGGACCTTGGACCAGGCGTTGAGGGTAGTCTTGAAGGATTCTCCAGAAATGGCTTTCATTGACGCGTGGGATATGACCATAGCTCAGAATTTCAAAGATAATGTTCATCCTCATCACGCAGTTCTCTCAAATCTGATGAATAATTTTCTTTCCTATATTTGTCCCGATGCACCAAGTTCTCCATAAAGCCTGTTTAACTAAGAAATACTTGCTTAATTTGGTTTGATTGCGAATGAAGAATAATAGTGGGTTCTTAAATAGAAATTTATTCTTGCCAGGTGACCATTAACCTCACCTGGGTAGAAAGTGGCAAATTTAGATTAATAACTTGCCAAAGACTTTGGTGCCGCGGAGACCCGGGACACGATCAACCGTATGGTGACGTACCGACTAAACCATGGCATTGCGCCATGGCGCGCTACTTATCTTTTAATGAATTTCATGGCGTGTGAAGTTATATAAATAAGTTTTAATATAAGAAGCACAAGTAGATCAATGAGGGGTTCGGCAAAATGTTATGAAGAAAGAGAATAAGGGTAGGTTTCATTGTTTTATATTTTACTCGATGAAACACAATTTGGAATTCTCCCATTTGCTCCGTCGCCTATACATATAACGATATATTTTTGTTTTATATAGGTTTTATTTCCACATTAACTGCATATGAAAAGAATTTACAAAGTAAGGCATATACTAGGTAACAAAACATGTACATTAATGTTCGATAGATACAGCAGTAAAAAAAAAAAAAAAAAAATTTAATGGCAAGTCATTAAATACAAATGATGCTAACAATAATCTGCAGTAATGAGGAGGAAACCTTGGAAGCAATATGCTTGTAATTAAGGTTTCATTTACATAATACATATACGGGCCGGAGGTGTCACACAAATATTCTGTATGCATTAATTTTTTGAGGGAATCTGTTTGTTATATGCCAGTTTTTTACGGGGTCATGCTGGAGAAAGTTGGGTTTCTTTGTTTACAAACCACACCTTATTCCTGACCTTTCTAGCCATTGTAATTGAGTTTCGAGTACACAAACTCTTGATTGAAAGTCAAGTGAACGATCCACATTACCGCTATGGTTCTATCTCCACTAGTATATCCCAGGGTCCCGTTTAATAAAATTAGTCTCAAATAACAACTGCTCGAATTTACCTATTCTGCTCACAGTCAATCGAATTCGATGATTTCAGTAGCTTTTAACCATGAGTTGGATTGTGTTACTGGTTTGTGAAACATGATACCTTGCAAACGATCGGAAAGACTTTCGAGAGATCAAGTCCAATCTCATTATTCCAAGGTATATCCCATTCATATGAACATAGTTTGTAATGCGTCATTGTAATGTTCGCCTATTCAATAGGTGTTGGAGAAGGCATAAATTGTGGTTTTCACAAGGTAGCATATTGGGCCCACTATTATTTATTTATATATTAATGACTTATGTCAATCAATTGACCTTTTGTCTTTCGTACTTGACACAAATTTAGTTTTTCTCACGACTCTCATAGATTAGTTGAAATATAATTATACAAATTTAAATGTGTAATATATTAAATTATCATTGAATCTCTAGAAAACGAAATATACGTTGTCTATGAAATCTATAGATTCATTGCCAGCTAACGTAGTTTTGGAAAATATCCCATTGGAGTGTATTTCATTTAATACATATCTGGGTGTTACGGTTAATAAAAAACTTTCTTGGAAATATCACATCGACAATAGGCTATTTGTAAAATTATTTCCGTAAATATTGGTATTATTAATAAAGCAAAGACATAATTTTTAATTCATTAATCATGCTCATATAGTTCTTTGATACTCCCATACTGAATTATGGTCTCTTAGTTCGGGATAACACACATCAAACCCCATTAGATAAAGTGTTGTCATTACAAAATAAGATTATTCGTATTAATTGTAATTTTCCCTTTCGCTCCCATACGAACAGTTTTTTGTTTAAATAAATTACGTTATTAAGCATCCGTCACAAATGTCATTACGATCTGCTAAGAACGAATTTCAGACCATGGAAATTCTGGAAGACCATGGAAAAACTGGGAGATTCGCATCGTAAGAACCTTTGTGACCGTGGCTTTAGGTAAAAACCTTATTTTTTTGTTTAACTAGGTCAATTTATGTATAATTACAAAAATATTATGTTGCCATCTGTTTTTCAAGATATTTTTTTTTAAATAGCTCAGTCCATAATTGCCCAACAAGACATTCGGGAGAATTTCAATTCACCTCTTTGCGGACCCTCTTAGCTCAAAATAATTTTTTGAATGAAGGCCCAAAAGTGTGGAATTCTTTAAGTAATGAATTAGAATATGGTCCATCGATTAATAATTTTAAGGAAAACAAACTGAAATTGTTTTCATTACAATCTTATGAACTTGATTGAATTATATCGCCCATGTATTCTTAACCCGTCATGTCTTTCTTTTTTCTTTTTTTTTCTTTTTTTTTTTTATTGTTGTTGAAACAAATTCATTTTCTACTCGTTGACTTAAAATATGAGTTGATATATCGTATTGTGCCCTCTCATGCATATCTTCTTTCTAATATGGTTAGAACAAAGTCATTTTCTACTCGCTGACTCAAAATGTAATTTGATATGTCATATTGTGCCCTCTCTTGCATATCTCCTTTCTAATATGGTTGAAACAAAGTCATTTTCTACTCGCTGACTCAAAATGTAATTTGATATATCATATTGTGCTCTCTCATGCATATCTCCTTTCTAATACGCAAATCTCCTTCCTCACCTTCTTCTCAATTCCACATGCAGCTCATCTTTTTTGTATTATTTTCTGTATCCCCGATATCTCCCTTCTTTTTGTGGCATTGTCTACTTTTTGTATTTGACCGTGTTCTCATATCTTTGTCATGTAAAGAACTCTCTTGTCCCATTTTCGTCTCTGTCGGCACCCCTTTTTCCCTAGTTTTAGTTCCTTTTTGTAGCTACGATTTGTTTATTTAATTATTCCTAACTATTATTTTAGGGGTCTACATTATTGTACAAGCATTGCTTTTTAGTAGACCCCTCTGTTTCCAATATGCATTCCTTAATTTGTGTAAATGATTATAATTGATCTGTAATACTTTGTTCGAAACATAAATAATATTGAATTTGAAATTAAAAGTGCAATTGAAATATTGTTTGTATCATCAGTATTATCATCTTTTACATCATCGTCGCTCTTGTCTCTGATTTTAAACTCATGATAGTCACAATCAATGTCACATTCCTGCTCAACATCATAGTCGTAATCATCATCATCATCATCATCATCATCATAGTTTAATCGTCATCATCATCACCATAAATTATTTATCATCATAATTTTGACCAACATTAACTTGGCTTACAACAGTAATCATGATTTGTATCTAATTTCTATATTTTTAATTCCTGTAAAAAGTACAGGCCAACAATTCGTATCATACGCACTGAAAAATCTATAATAGGGTACGTTGTTATAGAATAAGACAGGCAAAGCTTTTATAATAATATGCATAATCAGAGTAATTGGTGGTGCAACATAACATTTAATACAAGAGCATTTTAGACATGTAAATTCAGGGTTCCATACACCGAATCGTAAGTTTGCGTTTGTCACCAATGAATCAAATATCCACGATCTTTAACATAATACTATTTTACATAATGTACTTGCGCTTTTCTAAAATAACTACCACCAAAATAGTTGCGATACACCTAAGAACAAGATGATAATTAATCGTGGATAAGAATCGATACATTTTGACCTCATTTAAATAAATCTGAACATGAACATCTTAACTGTCTTCAGTTTAAAAGATACGTTTCACAAATCTACAATCTATACAAAAAAGTCGTCCTTTATTTTACCAATGAGTACATGGCGACAATGGCATGAAAGGGAGGTTTATATAATACTAACGTAAAGTACTACCCACATGCAGGGAACGGGTGTGAGAACTATATAGGGTGCTTATAATCACAGTCAAACATTGAAGCCTCAGAGTAGCGTTAAAAAAACATGGAGGGATAACTATATGCCGGATACGCTAAATATTACACTACATACTATGAGTATGTTGCAATACATAAAATGTATTACGAAATAGGTGAATAATCGAGGCTAGTTGGCCTGCGATGGTTGTTTACAGGAGAACATTTTGATGATGGTAGCACGGAACAGAGGCTGCGACATGGCATAGGATATAGGGTTCAGGAGGCTGTTCCCGTATTGCAGATTGACGATGAAAGTGAAAGCTTCAAGTGACAGACTAGGTACGATGAGTCGAGGTTCGATAGTGTAGATTAAAGTGATTACGCTAATCGGAATCCATGTCAGTACGAAAGCGATCACGATGAAGAGGAGAGTACGAGTCGCCTTCGTCATTTCAGCCGTCGATTCCACGCGATGTGACGTTGATGTCTGAATTGTTAGGAGAGACAGACAGGGAGCAAGTAAGAGAGAAATATAACGAAATAGAAAGAACAAAATCATGAACACCGTAGATTTTGATAGGAACATAATTATACTGCGACAAATATACATGCTATCAAACCAACTCGTGCATTTAGAGTGATTTTGATCTTCCAATGGAATCTATTTAAACTTTAAAAAGACACCAAGCACAAACAGTTCCGTAACCTTCAAATTTTCTTCAGCACCAATTGCATATTACTTTCGTAGTTACATGGGAGAGCGAGGGAAATTATCCCTCAGAGATTGATATCAAAAAATCTTGTGAGCAAAATTCTGTCAGCAAACAGCCTATCGTTCGTTGTAATCTTTAGGCCTGCTTACCTTATTATTTATTTGTCGCAAGAGTTGTCTTTGCAAATGCAGTTAAGAAAACATGATCACAGAGATATCTTAAGAGAAATTTGAATTCTCTTTTACACAAAAATCAAGGTCAGATATTTGTAGTCATATTCTCATTTTAGAATAAAAGTCTGTGCTATCGTGTTATAAGAGGCAAATTATGTAGATTACGTACCGATATTTCTTGGCCAATATTTCCGTTCTTGGTCTCATTACGTGATGAAGATGATGATATCATGGTGTCATCTCTGCTTCCTGTCTCTGTAATGTCACTAAATGAACCTGTATGCGATGTCGACGAAACGTTTACGCTCGTCATCTCATTATCCTTGGCGGTGGAAAGGTTGAGGTCCGTTAAATCAGTTGATTTCTTGTTGTTCCGTCTTCCAACCGTCTTCCGAATCTTGATATAGATTCTGACGTAGAGAACGGCGATGATGGCCAAAGGCATGAGGAACAAGGCATTATTTTGGATCATATTCGTCAACGGACTGAGAAGGAACCGCTGAGTACAGTGGAGTCCGTTGTCGTGATCGACGATGAACTCCCACACTGTGACGTACCCTATCCAGAACGAGAGTCCAATCACCCATGGCAGAGAGTTGATGATAATTGCCTTGCGTTTTGATCGAGAGATAAAATGGTTGATGGGATCATAGACCGCTTGATGTCGATCAGCACAGATAACA